ACAGAGAGACAGACAGAGAGACAGACACAGACAGAGACAGACAGAGACAGAGAGACAGAGAGAGACAGACAGAGAGACAGACAGAGAGACAGACAGACAGAGACAGACAGAGACAGAGAGAGACAGAGAGAAAGAAACACGTTGTTATGTTGTTTGTACATGATCAAGTACATCTGAAGGGTTCACATTCTGCTTTCAACTAGCAAGCCCTGGTTTTCATTAAAAAAAAAAAAAAAACTGACATTTTCATTGAAAACTATTTTTGCACAATCAAAAACTGCATAAGGGATCATCCCAAAGTTCAGGACAACCCCTTTGCTTTTAAATAAAAATTTTTTAAAACAAATTAGCTTCAGAAACCTAAAATTTACTTCAAGACATTTTCTTCAAAACGAAAAAAAGAAAGCCACCCCCATAAATGAAGCCACACACACACACACACACACACACACACACACTGGCACTGGCAGTCCATATTTCTATCCTGCTGACCAATGACTTCTGTTTCAAGGAGACTTTGTGTCCATTTAAAATGAACCAAAAGGGCTGGCCAAATGGCTCAGCGGATTAAAGCATCTGCAAGCAGGCACAGGGGCCAGGGGTTCCAATCCCCAGGCCTGCCATGCTGGCCCCACCCCTAGGGCGTGCTGAGACAGCAATCGAGACTGGGCATGATGGCACGCGCCTGTAATCCCAGCTCTTGGGAGGCTGTAAACAGGCAATCACTACGAGTCCAATTTAGTAGTGAGACCCTGAACCCCCTGTAGACCCTTCTCTAAAATACAGAAATAAAATGAGCCAAAAACATTTAAGTTACAAAATACCAAAAAGATAAATTTGTAAGTAAAATTTACTAAACCCACAAAACTAGAATATAAAAACAAAATATTTGCATCACTCACTTAGCTGTGTGATTGTTGACACATAAACTCATTTATTTAGTTTTTACATGTAAAAACTACGTTTTTTATTTAGATGCTAACTACTGACAGAGAATCACTTACTAGGGAGATGGCATGCGTCCAATTCACAATAATATGTTGTGGGAAAGGTAAGGGTGCCAAGAGGCTATAAAGGGGGGCAGAGGGGCTAAGTTAGTCAGAGACTCAGAGAGGGTTCCACAAATGAGGGGGCATCGGGCAGGTGGAGCGCTTGTGCCAGGCAGAGAAAGAGCAACGCATCTCCTCAGAAATGCCACGCAACGTGGTTTGCATGTGTGGCTGGTGCAGGTGTGTGTGAATGGCTCCGAGCCATGAGACCAGAGGAGGGGACCGTTTTTATTGTCCAGTACAATAGCCACTTCCACACATAGCTGAGCCCAGGAAATGGGGCTAGTCTGAACTCAGATGCACGATAAGTATAAAATACACAACAGTTTTCAAAGACTTATTATGAAAACTGCAAAGTATCTTAATTTGTGTACTATTAGTTATCACAACATTTTAAGTATATTGGTTTAACTAGAATATATTGTTAAGTTAATCTGCTGTCTCTTTTTAATTTTTTAATTTACCTGCTAGAAAAATTTAAATTTGCATTCATGGCTCATGCTAAATTTGTATTGGATGGTGCAGGTGTAAAGAGAAGATAGAGGGGGAGACACCTTAAACACTATGCTCAGAGGTTTGGATTTTATCCTGTGAAGCAACAGAAAACTTTTGAAGATATTGAAGCATAAAAGTCAAACAACAGGGCCAGACACACTTGTGTAGTCCATGAGGAGTACAGGAGGAGGAGGAGGAGGAGATAGGAGGGTCACTGGAGCCCAGGAGCTTGAAGCCCATCTGTGCAACATTCTAAGCCCCTGACTTAGAAAAAAGTTTTATTTATTTTTTTTAATTATTTATTTATTACATTTTTATTTAGTGTGTGTATGTGTGTGTGTGTGTGTGTGTGGCCAGCTCAGCCCACCAGGGGGCGGGGCTGGCTGGCATGCGGTGCTGGGGGATCAAACCGCGGTCCCTGTGCTTTGCCAAGCTTGTTCCAAGTAGGTGCTTTAGACCACTGAGCCATCTCTCCAGCCCCAGAAAAAAGTTTTGGAACTCCAATCAACCAAGCAAGAGAAAAGGGGTTGCAAGTAGAGATTTGAGAGCCTCTGGTTCCCAAGGTTCCTCATTTATAAGCTAGAGATAATAAAATCTTTTGAACCTACTTCTTTGGGTTATTTTGAACAGTCAATGAGATATAGAATATGAAAACACTTGATAAATAGTGACACATTATGCAAATGTAATAAATTATTAGTAATAGCTGTAGGCTTCTCTTCCTAAGAGCTCATCCTCGCCCCCAAGAGCATCTTCCTGTCTCTTCCCATCGGGCTATGCTTTGGGACAGCTTGTCTTGTGGACAAGATAATGAGAAAACAAGGAATCAGAGCATGACATCCAAGGACAATGCCAACACCCTTTTAGAAGGAGCTGGCCCCGCTCCATCACCAAAAGTCATCTTGAACCTCTCATCACCTAAATATAGTTAGCAATTTTGCATTCTGGTCATCAGTAAAAGTTTGCCACTCACTCATTCCTCCTGTGTTTGCCTGCAAACTTCGAGGGCTTTGATCTTTCCTTTCTTTTTAGAAATAAATGACACTGTGGCTGTGTAGCCGAGGGCACTGGAATGGAACACAGAGTGGAGCTGCTGGTGTTTTCTGCCAGCTCTAATGAGATGGCATTGCTGTCAGCCATATTTTGTGAAAACAGCCCTTCTGCCCACTTGTACTTCCAAACCCAGTTGATGATTTATATATTCAGTTTTTCTGATCCTCTAAATTTTCCTTAGTCATAATTCCCAATCTGCACAAATGAAGTATAAGTCTCTTAATTTTTAATTTTTCGTGGTGTCTCTAAGACCATGTTAAAAATCTGTCTCCAATACCTCCAATCATTTATAATTTGGTTTAGCATTATATGGTAAATAGCAGCAACCATTTGTTCTTTTTCCCAAGGGGAAGAAAAGGAAAGAGAAGAGTATTTCCAAATTAAATAGTAATAAGGCATCACGGTTACTAGGAAACTTGGCGTCCCCTGCAGCATGTAGAAATTTCACACATAGTAAATAAGTATGGCCACTCTGCATCTTAATTCATAGATCTGAGTTGAAAAAAAAAAAAAAGATCCCAGTTGAAGATTAGTTTTAAGTTAAAGGTCATAACTTGTTTTACCTGAGTATATTTTTTTTGGACAGAAGGTGAGCTTCAGTCCTGTTTGGGCAACTGGCGAGACCATCACGGTATAAACGTCCCCACAAGGTATCTCAGTGACATCACAGAAGCTGAGACCGGCCCTTGGGGCACATGTGAAGATGCCTTTGGAGCCGTAGAGGTCGGTGCTGTAATTGGCGGATCCTCGGGAGACCTGCCAGTGGATCCGGATGCCATTAGGGCCCAACCTGTATAATTTCACCCCCAAAGGGCAGCAGGCACCTGGAGGACAAAGGCAAGCAGAATCACTTATTCCACCGGCTCACAACACGGCCTTGGTGATCATGGAGAAGCACAAATAAGCTATTCTACTAATGTGAGCAATTCCTGGTCAGAGTAAAGCAAGATTTAAAGATGTTCGAGTTCTTTCCAGGCCGAGCCACAGAATCAGAAATGCACGTGTGAGGGTGGGGTGGGGTGGGACGTTTTAGTATAGAACAGTGATTCAAGAGCTCCACACGTGGCAGAGATACTGTACTGTATGTGACTCAAACTCTGAGTCAGATGCGTGGGATCCTGACAGGAGCCCTCATGATGCCCCAGTTTCTCTTAATCTCCGTGGAATTAAGTTTAAATATAATTCATTGAACTCAGCTGTAATTGAACAACAACAATGTTCCTGAGCTGAGCAGCATGATGCCTTTGGAGCAGCGGCTACCACGACAGGCTAGGGACCACACTGGTTGTCCCACACTTCCACTGAAATTTCCACTCCTGCCCTTAACTCCGTGTGTCAACCTGGTAGAGATGAGGCTTCAAGTGAAATTGTTGTTTTTGTTGTTTGGTTTTGTGTTTTGCGGTACTGAGGACCAAACTCAGGACCTTGCACATGCCACACTGGCACTTACGCTGCTGAGCTGCCTCCCAGTTGGCCCACACTTCATCCCTGCTAGCCAATCAGGTGCTTTTCTAAAACCTTGAGCAGCAGGCTGGCAAGAAAGCTCAGGGGACTAAGAGTCTGCCTAGGCAAGCACAGGGACCGAGGTTTGATCTGCTGAGCTGGCCACCAAGCTGGCCACTGAGACTGTGCGTGGTGGTGCGCGCCTGTAATCCCAGCGCTGGGGAGGCTGAAAACAGGAGGATCACTTTGATTTCAAGCTGCATAGTGAGACCCTGTACCAAATACATTAAAAAATAAAAATAAAAATAAAAAATGAGCAGGCATTGTGTGTCAAACATTCAGTGACATGTTAAGTGTCAAGCAAGGCACTAAATGGTGGAGTCCTCAATAACTAAAATAAAGATGCTATTGTATAATTTAAAAAAAAACTTATTCTCTTAAATTTTTAAAATTATTATTTGATGTATTTTTTAAAAATTACGTGTCTGGATAAGCAGTAGGGTGGTGCACACCTGCAATCCCAGCACTCTGGAGGCTGAGGCAGGAGGATCGCCGCAAGTTTAAGGAGACTCAGCCTCAAAAAAAAAAAAAAAATCAATGAGCCATCTATTCAGAACCAGATATCAAGGTGAGAATGTAGGTAACAAACTTAATGGAATGGACCAAAAGAAAATATAAACCAGCTTGGGCCAGGGAGATGGCTCAGTGGAATAAGTGCTTCCCTGGCAAGCACAAGGGCCTGAGTTCAATCCCTGGTTCTGCCAAAACAACAATAACAACAAACTTTGATTTCTTTGAACAAAAAAATATAAACCAGCTTACATATGTGTAGCACATGGTGAATACTCTTATAGCTTATTTTGATTCCAAAAACAACTTCAAAAGATAAACTAGAAAGCTATTATTATCCCTGTTTTTCTTACCAGTGAGGAGAAGGAATCTTGGAAAAATAGGGCAGCCCAGTTTATAAGAAGCCATTTCTAACTTAGACGCTCAGCGGAAAACTTTTTCTGTAACATCCAGCACGCCAAAATTATAATTTCAGTTCTCCCATCCTTTGCCCGAGGCAGAAATAACAAACCGATCATTGTGCTCTTCCTCTTTATGCCTGACAGGTACCGTCAAGAGCTTCGCAAACAGTGCTCCAAGCAGCCAGTGAATAGATTAGTCACCCGAGAGGAACATTGTTTGCTAGACCTCAGCGACAGATGCCTTTGTTCTCTCAGCCTGTTGAAATAAGAAACCCTAGAAGGATCTGCAGCGGCTTGGGAAAGAGAAAGGTGGTGGCGTGATAAGAAAACAACAGAAACCAAGGGATCCGTGCTCTCTGAACACTGCCAGGCTGAGCGCTGCAGGTCTCTGTGTTGCGTAAAGATACACCGTCCCTTCAGAGCAAGAATACTTGAACCTTGTTGCCAGGGAGGCAGTTTACCAACTACCAGCAGAAGCTTCTGAACAGTTCAGGTTCAAAGTCAAGAGGAAATTGTAAACGTTTTAGAAACTATTAGACACTGATAACACAAGCTGCATGGAGTTGCAGCTTCTTTTTGAATGAGAAGGATAAGTCGCGCCTGGACTTCGAATACTTGAGTCATCTCTGGCTCTGCAGTGCTAGAGCTAAGAATTCACTTACTAGAGAAATCACTTCGGTAGGCACAGTCTGAAGTCAGCCCCGAGGCACTAACTGCTTTCAGTGCCACCGTGTAGTTGATGCCACATGTGATACATCCCAGGAGGCAGTGACTCTGATGGGTGTGACACTTGGACTGTCCAGTGTGTGACTCCAGAAGTGTCACATAGGTTTGGGCCATTGTGTCAAAAGTCCAGCTCACATTGATTACCGACTGGGTGACCTGAGTTATTGTCAGACCAGCTGGACAGCATGGCACTTGAATGAGAAAAAGAGAAAAAGCAGGGTTTTATTTTACTGAAGATTATTTGCAAAGAACAACCAAGAATGATATTTTGCCTATATTTTATCCAGTATCCTAAATTTCTCAAACTATCCACTGTTAATAGAAATTGTCTTTGTTCCTGCCTTGGACACCTCTTGCGACACCAGATACACACAGCGAGTCCTTCTCCAAGAGCGCAGCGCACCAACAGGTTGTGAGTGATGTGAGGGTTTTGTTTCCTTTCAGAATAGGAAAGAAATCCTTTGTTAAGCCCCAGCTCGAACAATTTGAGTTGGTAAATTTTAAAGCAATGGTTGTGTAATCTCTTCTCCCAAAAATATTTTATAGCATTTGCAATAAAATGTGTTTTGCCCAGGTGGAGCATTGCATGGTGTGTCGCCGCTATGGGAGCGCCACTTCTCAGCTCCCTGAGCACCACAGTCATCTCGATTCGCTAGGAACGCTTTATACAGAATGCAGGGCACTTAGAGCCTTCATGCATATTTAGCATCTTCTCTATTCTGATTTTTTTAAAGGCATTTTAATTTTGAGAGCCCAAAATGTCATCTGTTGTTATATATGAAAGAAAGTAATGTCCAAAGCACATTGCTGACTCTCATCCACGCGTGAGGCTGGGAAGCAGCCTCGCTGATCTCGCACTGCTCGCTAGACCCGACGCTGAATGTTTGGCAGCACTAGCTCACTCGATACAACCACGCTCCGAGACCCCCACTTCCTCTCATGGATCAGGAAGCTGAAACCCAGAGAGCATTTTTTTTTTTTTTTTTAATGTTTTTGGTACAGGGTCTACAGGGTCTCGCTACACAGATCGGACTCGTAGTGATCCTCCCGTTCTCAGCCTCCCAAGCGCTGGGATTACAGGCGCGCGAGCCACGGCCCAGTCTCAGTCGCCGTCTCAGCGAGCCCCGGGGGCAGGGCCGGCGGGGCACGGGGTGCGAGGGATCGAACCCCTGTGCCTGCACTCTGCCTAAGCAGGCGCTGTAGTCCGCTGAGCTAGCAGGCCGGCCCCCAGGAAACATTTTTTTTTTTTTTTTAAACAGGAAAATATAAACGGGCAGAGTCAAAGAGATAAATAATGAATCCTCTCATTTAGTTTACTTGTGAGCTGATTTGGTCGGTGCTATCCCGGGAGAACATACGCTGTGACAAATAACGCTTTCACACAAGCCAAGTGTTACTCCTCTGACGCCGACATAGGACAGTAACAGTCTTTTGGTGATATTTTTATAGAACTTCTAAACGTTGAAAGTTCTACTTTCTAAGACTGGGGCTTTTTGAAAGCCTCCTGTGCTTGCTGTGTTTCTGCTGCACTGAGGGTAGACTAAATGAAGTTCACGCCCTAGCACGCTTCCTAGGAGCCCGGTGAAGCCGGTGCTCGGGCTGACAGCTGCTACCTACCTGTTTCCAGGGGCACACTGTAGCTGGGCTGGCTCCGTCCCACCTCCGTTTCGGCCACCGCGGTGACCGAGAACACAGAGCCGCAGGGCAGGCCCCCCATGCTGCAGGCCTCTCCCTTGCTGCTGCACCGGTAGCGCCCCTTCTCCCCCTGGGCAGTCACCGTGTAAGTGGCATCTTCATTAGTGGCTCGCCAGCGCACACTGATTGTGGAAGACGCATCCTCTGAGATACTTTTTATCTCAGGACTGCAAGGAGCTAAGAGATTTTAAGTTACTACTTGAAACAGCTTTGAATCCAAAAAAAATATCATCTGTACCATTTTGATGTAAAACTCATTCCCCCCAGATAAGATCACCGTAGTTCTTGACCATACCAGGCTTGTAAGCCAAATCCCTAGAGCCTCTGGGTACAACACTGTTGACACTGACACAGGGGATTTAGCTTCCAGCATTGTTGAACTAACTGAAAAATGCTTAACAGAATTTTGCACTCAAAGGCAAAAAAAACTGAGGCAAGAATTACTTGTACAGGGGGCTGGAGAGATGGCTCAGTGGTCTAAAGCACCTACTTGGAACAAGCTTGGCAAAGCACAGGGACCACGGTTCGATTCCCCAGCACCACATGCCAGCCAGCCCCGCCCCCTGGTGGGCTGAGCTGGCCACACACACACACACACAAAAAGAATTACTTGTACACCTTCGCGCTGTGTGTACCCAAAACCTCCAAAGTAAAAGAACCAAACAGCTTAGGGACTCCCTAGCAAAACTTTTCCCTTCCCCACGGTCCCCTTTATGTTTTCTTTCTTTCCATCTTTTTCTTCCACCTTGTCCTCCGCCTCTCCTCGGTACAAGGGGTGCTCTGTTGGTCCCCACTGGGTAGTTAATGGAATTGAACCTTTTTCTAAGTCTTGCTGTGCGCTGGGCTTGAGGCACATAAGGGTGGGGAGGACATTCAGACCCCGGTGCGCGTGAGCCTAGTTGTGTCATGGTACCTGTAGTGATAAAGCGGGAAGCGCATGACCTATTGCTGCCCCGGACTTCGCTGAATGAATACACTGTGACATTGTACTTGGTGTCGCACTCCAGAGCTGAGAGCGTGCAGGCAGGAGCAGTGTCATTGCACTCTACCACGTTGTACCCAGCCACAGCCTTGGTTTCATACAGCTCGGCGCCACGGACTGGAGACCATATGACCTCCATTCTGTCACTAGACACTGACACAGGGTTAATGTCCCTGGGACAACAGGGAGCTGAAAGCAGAAACAGAGGGAACCCAAGTCAGTAGAAGAGCAGTGCCACCCAAAGGGGTCACTGGGTCCTGACCTTCCCATGGCTGCAGTCTCTGCCCCTGTCTGCCCCAATGACTATGAAGCGCCTCCTCCAGTCCGCTCCATTCCACATAGGCTGTGGTTCTCGCTGCACGGAGGGCAAGCCCTCAGCACGGTACTCAAGCACGCAACCCCCTCCCTTGCGTGTGCTCCTGCTTCTTTCTCTTATGCCTTGAAAACTCCGCTAGGAGTCTTTCTCTGCTTCTGCCTGACACAGTCAACCTTGTCTAACTTTTCATCCTATCTGTCTTTCTAGACATTAAACCAGATAAATCTAGGATACATGAGAGAACATGGTTGTATTAGTAGATTTCAGAACTCCAGTGATAAATGTCTATCTCAGCTTGGAGTTCCTTTGAGCTGTCCCTGCTCCACCTACATTCTTTAACTCTGGTTAAGGCCATTCCTTCTAGAAGGTTCTCCACTATTCTTGAGAACTTGTTGATAGCCTCCTACTCCAAATTTCATAAGACCAAATTATTTGGATCCTTCAGCCTGGTAAAATTCTTTGTAATCCAGCTAGCATTTTACATAACTATTTCTTTGTAAATATAATTAATTTTAAGGCAATATTTGCTCTTCAAAACTCAAGTATCTCTCATAAGCTGATCACACCATGATAAACAAAAATGACAAAGAGGCAAAGAAAACATAATCCCTGCCAGTACAAAATCCAAACCTAAGTAGATGATGACAGTTATGATAAAAATGATGCTAATAAAAATAGGCGAAGCCAGGGGTGGTGGTGCCCACTGAAATTCCAGCACTCTGGAGGCTAAACCAAGAGAATCACTGCAAGTTCAAGGCCAGCCTGGACTACATAGTGAGACTCTACCTCAAAATAATATAAAATAAAATAAAATAATTGTTTTATCATATACAAATTTACCTTTTCACATTCATGTTATTATTTTTGTCCCATTTTGTGGTGGAGGGTACAAAGTAGGACAGAGGACATCTTCATTCCCATTGTCTGAGTGAGTTATTGGTCAAGTTGAGAGTTTAACCCACCTGCCCTAATTCAAAGCCCTGACATTACTGTGCATCTTGGCCACTGCATCTGTCTCTCTAGTCCCAGAAAGCCAGTGAACCCCTGAAACAAAGGGTTTGCATCCCTTTCAGGATCTACCACAGCCCTGAACACTCAGTAGACCTTTTTAAAAGGTCCAGTTTTTCAGATCAGGGCTGAACAACTACATTCCTTCCTCTCTTTTCACTTCTTAATCCTTCATTCTTCTTAGCCCATGTCCACAAAGCCAATTTTTCTTAGTTTTAAAAGCACATGAGGGGCTGGTGAGATGGCTCAGTGGTCTAAAGCACCTACTTAGAACAAGCTTAGCAAAGCACAGGGACAGTGGTTCAATCCCCCAGCACCACATGCCAGCCAGCCCCGCCCCCTGGTGGGCTGAGCTGGCCACACACACACACACACACACACACACAAAATAAATAAATGTTAAAAAAAAAAAAAGCACATGAGACAAAAAAATGTATTTTGTCTTCTTGGCCCTAGAATGACTTCCAGGAGGTGAGTCAAGAAGTAGCGGAAATGATCAGTTCTCCGCTGCTGACTTTAGTGACCTTGAAACCCCCTTTCCATGCACCAGATGTGACTTACCTGTGGTGTAATTGAATACGTCACCCAAAGGACTGTGTCCTGCCTTGTTATAGGCGAAAACACTGATGAAATAAGTGAAACCACACTCAGACAAGAAGTTGCACTGGGTGAGGGATGTGTTGCAGTGTACTTCCAAGCCATCGTCGCTCTTTACAAAAGCCACGTAGTAATCGCCCAGATCAACAGTGGACCAAGCCACAGACAGATGGCCAGGGGGGTTTTCTTGGATTGTCACTCTTCCAGGTGCACAAGCAACTAGGAAATGATGAATAATAAGCAGCTGTAAGACTACTGCAACAGATTTCTTTGCATCTTTGCAATTATCCAAGATTTCAAGGCAATCCAAATCAGCAACTCCGAGTTGTGTAACAGATTAGATTTGGTGTACAACATGCAAAGTTATGCACCAGAACCATTAGAAAATTCTCTTCATAGAAGCAAGTGCGCGCCGTAGGACCTGACCACTACAACAAACTCCAGTGACTTATCCACATTTTTCTCACTGGATGCAGTATTGTTTAAAATGGGCTATCAGAGATTCTTAGTCATTGTAAGACACAGAGATTTTGTTCTGAGAGTATTATTGAAACACTTGACCTCATTTAGAAATGCAGTCAATTTGGGGTGAGTGAGACAGTGAATGACCCAGAAGTTATCTGTTTTGGAGATAAAAATGTAGCTACTCACTGTACTTTCTATTAACACTTCATTAGCCTTTCCAACAATTCCTCTCAACTAAAGTGCCCCACCACTGAACTATACCCCCAACCTGCCATATCCTTTGACATTTTAGTCACTTGTAATGGAAATCTTCCTAAAATATATTACATATTTCTAGAGCTTAGGAAACCACAGTACTTTCTAAACATAGTTTTGCTATTGATAAATCAAGGTTGTTCTCACAATAAAGGCTGGCTGTGTGGTGTGCAACTCCCTCCGGTGTACCTCCTGGACAGATGGTCAATGGGACTTAGCCCTGACCGCATACTGGAACCAACTGGAAAGCTTTTCATAAACTAGTCATGTCCAGACTCTATTCCCAGAAGTTCCAGTTCAGGTTAGGCGGGACCTGGTGTTAGCGCCGTGGCTTGTGCCTAGATGTCTTCACAAAGCCTCGTGCGGTCATACACGGGGCTTTCTTGGAAGTGGCTGAATCTAGAGCGTGGAACTGATTCATGGTGCAGTGCGAGGACGGAGGGTGGCTGATGACTAAATCAGTCCACTGACTGGTTTTGCACTGCCCTAATCCCAGTAGACTGGACACAACATAAGGGACAGGGAGAGGTTTGTCTTGCCTGTTGCTTGCTTTGGCACACACATCCTCTGCCACACTGCCCTGCCCTGGAGCCAGCTGATTATGGACCAAAACCTCTACAGGTTGGGGGCTGAATAAGCCTTGCCCCTTTTAATGCTGGGTGTTGAGTATTTTGTCTCAGCAATGAGAAAAGTAAGACACCTGGGTATCAAGATGTTATAAAAGCTTCTAGATCCTTTAAAGTGCATCCAAGAATTAAGAACTCCAGGTAGTTCTCTCCTACATTAAATAACTAATTTAAACCCTCTGTGCTTTTGAAAGTGTTTCGTACTTCTTCTTTGGTCCTTAGCTATCCTACCTTTGCAGCCAATTCAAATGTACCAACCACATTACAGTCTAGCTGTCAAAAGAGAAGCCAAGTTGCCACAATTTATTAGAACACTAAGAAGCTGTGGATCTAGGGCATTAGATTTGTATGTGTTTCTCTGTGTGCACAAGCTTAGTAGTTTCCTCCCTGCTCAGATCCTTTTAACTTAGAATGACATAATTCTGACTGTTGGATGAAGTGGATGTTATTACATTTCCTTTAGCTTAGAGGATGAAAATCAGGTGAAGAATCCATTTATTATTGAAATGTCCTTGAGGTAATTATTTAACTTCTCTGAACTTCAATTTTCTTATCGGAAAAGGGGCATAATAGAGGCCACTTTATTAAGTTGCCATAGAATTAAATATGTATTAATGTCTTTGACAAAGTAGGACTTCACAAAACATTAGTTTCAATTCCCAAAATACATAAATAATTTTAAATAGAGGGGTAGGGGCCGGGGAGATGGCTCAGTAAAGTAAGCGCTTGCCTGGCAAGTGCAAGGGCCTGAGTTCAATCCCCAATTCCACTAATAAATAAATAAATAAATATAGAGGTAAATATCCACGTTTGTGTGTGTTTATATCTTGAGTAAGAGTGGAAGTAAGAAGGGCTGGGGACATAGCTCAGCAGAATAAGCACCTGCCTAGCAAGTACAAGGTCCTGCGTTTGGTCCTTGCTGCTAACAAAACAAAACTTAAAAAAAAAAAAGTAGAAGTGAGAAAATATCTGAATACATTCAGAACTAAAAATATCCCATCTTTATCTTAAAAAATGAAACATGAGATGAAGCAGAGGCTGCTATCTGTTGACTCCAGCTGGATTTTAGCATTGTCTTAATTTTATAAAGAAAAAGAAATGAAAGCTGTAGAATAGGAGCCAGACATTCTAATTTTCCGATACAGCGTATGTGCTCTTTACTGCACAGTGTCTGCTTTCCCTACAAATATTCAAACCCATAAGAACGTCCAACTCAACGCCTTCATTTGAACCGACTTCAGTTTTTCACTGTTTGCAGCGTGGCCGACCATTAAGGGCAGTTTCGCTTCGCCGTGGCTGTCCCTCGGCCTTGCCCGCCCCGCGGAGGCATCATGCTTGTCTACGTACCAGTCTTTAGGCTCACTGCTGAAGAGGACTTGCTAAACCCTGCGTCGTTACTTGCTAAAACGGAAATCAGGTATTCAGTCCCGCACAGCAGGGAAGAGATGCTGCAGGAGCTGACGGCTGAGCTGCAGCTGAGCTCGGAAGAGCTGCTGGACGCCGTCACCGTGTAGTTGAAAGCGCCTTCCGTCGGAGTCCACGAAACAGATGCCCTCAGAGCGCCACTGTCAAAAGAGACTCGAATGTCGGCAGGGGCATGAGGACCTATGTTTTTGAGGGGAAAAAAAAAAAAAAAAATGAAGATTTTGTAGCGAGCTGAAGAACCCAAGTAAGATTTAGCTTAACAATCTGAGCTCAGCAAGTAAATACTGCACTAGGGTAACCAGATAAATGGGAGCGCTCAGAGAGGAAGACTGGGACGCAGGGTCTCCAGGAGCTCCTAACACACCTCCCATTAACGACGTAAGCTTACAATAAACTGTGTGACCCTCAATTTGTTACTTTCTCTATATGGGTATAGCAGAATCAGTGTAAGGTACATACCTTGTATGCATGGGTGAATGAATTTAGAATTTAGCACATGGTTGAAGAAGAGAACAAGGCTATCATTAGGAAGGGGGCTCTGAACGTAGCCCATTGGTAACGTGTGTGCCTAAGTGTCGCAGGACTCAGCAGAGTCCTTAGCACCACAAAAACGAACAAGTAAATAAATGGATAAGTAAGCCAAAGGGGCCATATGTTATTATATTATGAGTCAAGCATTTTCTGTATTATTTATTAATGAAGCTAAACTTATCCCTTCTTTATTTTTAACTGCTGCAAAGACTTTACTGTAATAGCTTTTAAGTCCTAATTGCTTCTGGAGGAACAAAGTTGCTCTGTACTCTAAATCAAAGGCAGGGGAAGAGCTGGGCGTGGTGACACACACCTGTAATCTCAGCACCCTTGGGAGGCTGGGGCAGGAGAATCACAAATTCAAGTGCAGCCTGGGCAACCTAGCAACATAGCATAACCCTATATCAAAATAATAAAAGATCTAGAGAGGTTGCTCACTGCAAAGGTCCTGGGTTCAGCCTCTAGCATTTTTTTTTTTAAGGAAGGAAAAAAGAGAGACACAGACAGAGATAAAGAAAGAAGGAAAGGGGCTGGGGAGATGGCTCACTGGAATAAGTGCTTCCCTGGCAAGCACAAGGGCCTGAGTTCAATCCCCGGTTCTGCCAAAAAAAAAAAAAAAAAAAAGAAAGAAAGAAGGAAAGAAAGACCTCAAGATATCAAGTGCAAAGATTACCTGTCAAGGCAGTGTTTGTGCCCTTGTAACACTTCCTTCTCATCCTATAAAGCATGCCTGCCTTTCCTCAGTGTCATCCCATTCAACAGTGTGCTTGGTGGCAGACCTGTGTAATTCCACGCAAAACTCCACTCAGCACTTGGGAGGCTGAGGCAGGAAAACTGAAACTCTGAGGCCTTCCTGGACTGCATAGCAAGATTTATGCCTGGATTAAACAGCGAAACCCTGCCCCAGAGCACAGAACAAACGCAGGAAGCCTGAGGAGATGCGCTCCGAGCTGACGGGAGATTGGCCTCAGGGCTCCTTCAGAACCTGCGCTCTAGTGAAGAGCAAGCAGCAGCCGCAGGAAGCTGCCTGGGCAGCCTGTGAGCAGAGACAGCATCCTCTGGGTACGTCCAGGGCACAGAGGAGGGCCTGCTTGGGGGCAGAAGGGCTCAACTAATTCTCTGCAAGGCAAGCACCAGGTGAATTTCTTTTCTGGGCCTGCCTGGCCAGCACCTTCCCTTTACTGTGCGGTCAGCTTGTTCAGAGGCAGGTCTGCTTTGGGATCATGCTGAGCCCCTGGCTGGCAAGGGTAGTCCACACTGTTTTAGAACAACTTACTTTTCCCACAGGGTCTGGGAGCACTAGGAAAAATCAGTAGAATAGGGGAAGACTGTCACAAATTTATATGTGCAAGTCCTAACCCTTAGGACACTCAGAGTGTGACCTTACCTAGAAATAAGATGCAACCCATTAAGATGTCTGTAAAAATGAAAAAACTTGTGCACTGACATATGAGTACAGAGGAAACGTCACATGGACATAAAGGTAGTTGTCCATAGGTCTGGGCAAAGGGCCTAAGCAGTTCCTTCCTCCACAACCCTCGGAAGTGACCGCTTCTGCCAACACCTACATTTCAGACTTTTATAGTCTCACAACTGTAAATTGTGTCAACTTCTGCTTTTTTGTTTCGTTTTGTTTTGGTTTTGGTCTTTTTGAGACAGGATCTCACTGTGAAGTTCAGGCTGGCCTTGAGCTCACTTTGTAGCCCAGGCTGGTCTCAAACTAACAACGATCCTCCTGCCTCAGCCTCCCAAGTGCTGGATTACAGGCATGTGTGGTGCTTGGTGCAGCAGCCCTGGCAGACCTGGACAGAGGCTACATCCAAACCCTAAGTTCTAAAACATAGAGAAACAAAAGAAAGGAAAGGCTTCAGTGAGCCCGGTGGCTCTCTGTCCGACCGCTACAGGTAAAGCCACCTGTATCTCGCTTGGCCTGTACAGCTCCATCAAAGCACTTGGTGCACAGCACTGCCACCGCTAATTTATGCACCCTGAAGCACAATCAGGTCTTGGAGTATAAGAAGCAAGCTTGATTTGAATTTGCACTCCCATCAGTTAAACTATGCCCAGCACAAAGTAGATCCTCAACAGTTATTTACAGGAAAATAAATGGGGGAGGGAGGCAGAGAAATGGGGGGGAGGGGGAGAGAGAGGGGGAGAGAGGGGGAGAGAGAGAGAGAGAGAGAGAGAGAGAGAGAGAGAGAGAGAGAGAGAACCTGAGGAAATGGCCCAGGGCTGGGTTTGTCACAGATACCCTCACTCATCACACTCATGGGACGAATCCCTATAGCTACTTGCTATGCCTTGTCCCTATAGACATACTATAGAAGGCAAATTCTCCTCTTCTCCCTATACTTCTGCCTTGGTAAGGAGGCTTCTATTCTTCTTTCCCAGGGAAAGCTGCTGAAGGGAACATTTCTGATTTCTTCCCACTCTTTCCTTCATCTTCCTTAAGGGTTAAGACAGCTAATTTGGTTCACCTATTTGGTGAGAATCTGTCATCTATTTAGGTCACATTGCCTGTAGCGCACAACTTTGTCAAGAGAAAAAAACCATCTCCCTGCGTCTGACTGACTTCAGGGCTCCGTTGGATGCCAAGTTACACAGCAGGAGCCCCTGTTCAGGGTGTCCCTGGGGTTGAGACGGGAAAGCACAAACTGCAGCCTGACTTCTCAGCCGAGGGCTGGAGAAGGGTGAGGAAGCCCCACACCAGCTTTAGGCCTAGGTCAAGGCCTTTGAGAGAGGACCAGAAGCTCTGATTTCCACCCAGCACAAAGCCCAGCATGGCAGGAGGGGTCCTGTGTGCCTCTGTAGCTCTGGGTCCGCTTAGCCCCAAGTGGCACAGCTCATTAAATGCCTGCGAATAAAGGAATTCTTGTTTGTCCCAATTCCTTTTGTCTTGGCTACTGGCCTGAACCTAGGAAGGGCCAAGGGTGAAGGGTAAAGCCAGCAGGACTATCTCCTTCTGTGTGATAGTGGATGCTCATGCAGCGAATGAGTCGGATGTCAGAGGGGAAAGCGTGGCTCTGTGTATATTCACACAGCATTTCTTATCCATGAAACAAGCGTTTAAACTGCTGAGAAGGAAAAGTCAGGCACTATAAATAACTTCATAATAAATTTAAAAACAGCTGCTGCCAGCTGCTCTGAGTTTATCACTGAACGTTGCCCTTGGTGGCTGCAGTGTGCCATTTCCTCGTTAATCAAAAGTGAGATTATTTGAGGCTGAGAGGAGAATTCCTTACTTGTTCTCTGATTGCAGGTGGAGTCATCCCCAGGGATTCCGTTCGCATTCCAGGCATAGGCCTTCACGGTGTACAGAGTCCCAGCCTCCAAATTGCTGAAGGTCAAGGATGTGTTCGTTGTATTCTCTTTCCAAATTCTACCCAAGCCGTTGGCTTGCATAATGGACACGGAAAATCCAATTGCCATGTGCACAGCTGCCCACTGCACGAGGATTGAATCTGGGCTTGGAGAGCTTACTTCGAGAATTGGCGCAGCCAACACTAAAAAGACAACGAAACAGAACCAAAACAAAAGAAGGTGCTACAAAAGCCCCGTGGAGGATAATTCAAATATTTAGCAATAAGTAAATTGAGATTGAGCATCCATATTGCAAGATAGCTATTTGCTTTGTAAAAGGATTCCTGGCACAATTCCATTAAATAACTGCTATTTAAATGTGTATTAATCATAAATAATGTGGCAGAGAAATGGGGGAGATTCAAGTAATAGGTGCCACTTTGAACTGGAAATTGGTCATAAGTTAGATAAAATATCCCTGTAATAATATAAGTCAATGGGAGGAATCTGGCTTATCCTGTTTTAATCTGCATGTAACTGTTTAGAAATATGCCCAAGTTCACAGAGGCCAGGGAGATGGCTCAGTGGAATAAGCGCTTCCCTGGCAAGCGCAAAGGTCTGAGTTCAATCCCCGGTTCGGCAAAAAAAAAAAAAAATGCCCAAGTTCAACTTTGTTAAGTCAATTCAGTTAATATTGATTATAAATGTTAAATGCTTTTGTTTGTTAATGTGCACCAGGTAGTCAAAGAGCAGCAAATGTCTTTCTATGTTTTTGTTTTTGTTTTATTTTTGGTGAAACGGGATTGAACTCAGACCCTTGCGCTTGCCAGGGAAGCACTTATCCCACTGAGCCATCTCCCTGGCCCTTTCTATATATTCTTTATTTGATATGATTAAAAATCCTCCTTTTCAGAGATTTAAAAACAGATATAGATAGATATAGATATAGACATAGACAGACAAAGATATAGATATAGATTTTTTTTTTTTTTTGCGGAACCAGGGATTGAACTCAGGCCCTTAGGATTGCCAGGGAAGCGCTTATTCTACTGAGCTATCTCCCTGGCCCCTAGATATAGATTTTTTTTGCTTTTTTTTTTTTTTTTTCCTGTGGGCCAGGTTGGCCTTGAACTTGTAACCCTCCTTGGGTCTGCGTAGGGAAGCTTTGAAAGATGCACAGAGCTGGGCTTTCTTTCCTGAAGCAAAGTGTCAGGCATTTACATGCCACCTCAGATGTCTGAGTGGCCACAAAGCATAGAATTGTCTTCGTCTCTGAGCCCTGAACTGCCACACTCGTGTGACTCCACGCTTGCAGCAGTGGTCTCGGGAGGAAACACCAAGCTACCTGTCTTGGCCTGCTTTGGGGCAGAGGCCTGGCTTCTCCCGGCAGCACTGAGGGACCTGACGGTGACTTGGTACAAGGTTGCAGGCTTCAGCCCTGCCACAGTGCCTGGGGAACTGGCCGCCATGGTTTCAACAACCGTGTCGCCATCTTCGGCTGTGAGCAGGTAGCTGGTGGCCCCCGGCACTGACGCCCATTCTACAGTGATACTGTTGCTGAGTTTTGAATAGGCCTGATCAATAGTAGGTATTTCAGGAGCTGAAAGAAATTTTGAAGTGCATTAGTCAGGCTACCTGCAAATGTCACTTCTGTCATCATTTTCCTCTGCAAACTAAATCGTTCTCGTGCCATCCTTTAGGCATAAGCTTTGCCCTCATTTCCCAGATCGAAAAAAAAAAAAAAAGGAAAAAGAGAGGCATGGTTGCTCTTCAGAAGAGAGCTGGAAGCTCGAGCCTCCCAGGCAGGGGAGAAATTTCGGAGGGTTTTCCTGGTGTCTTGTGTGGTCCTCTGCGCTTTTTGTACTTTTAAATGAGAGTGGGAAGGGCTCCGGGGAAGGAACCCTGAGAGCGGGGAGAGAATAACCAAGGAGCTTTATTCTAGAGCATTCTACTCTAGTCCGGCAGGCTGCAGGTTTTCCAGGCTGCTTTGCCATTGATGTCAGCTCTCTGGCCCCACACTGGCTACACAGCGTCCAAGCGGACCCAGCGTGCTCTCCACCTCCCTTTACACACCTCCCAAATGGGATTTCATGTAATGCAGGAAGGAAGGAGAACTGAATCCTTTGTTATAATTGCCCCATGCTCCACTTTAGTATTGGAGTGGAACAATTTTTAGGTTCCTATCTGCATACATGTCATTCTCTTTTTCCTATCCAAACATCTGGTCAGGATAAGCACCAGATGCTGTGGTCTCTCCTTCCTGTGCACCGGCTATGGTTTGCTATAGGAATATGAATAGGCAGGTTGTGAGTTTATACAAAGCTCTCCTGTATTTGGGGTATGGTGTAGAACATACAGCACGATAATTAGATTTACTGCTTCCCAAAGATACCCACATGAAAATGTTGTGGATTGGTAGGAAATCCAAGCGGGAGGGGTCAGAAGAGCCATGCACCTGTCACCGCAGCACTTGGGAGGGCAAGGCAGGAGGCTGGCTCAAGAGCACTGGGTCCCAGAGCAGCCTAGGTACAGAGCAAGACCTGTCTCAAAGACAGGGCAAAACAAAGAAGCAGAGCTCTAACCCAAGAAGGAAGACAACAAGCACAGGCGAGCACTTTGCAGTATCGGCTCTTCCCCTCCCCCAGCCCAGCCCCTGCGGCCCAACACAGAGACAACCTTCTCTTTCTGTGTCCAGAGCCTGAGAGTTGGCATTGGCAACGTATCAGAAATAACCACACTGCAAACTGAACAAAGTCTCCACTGTGCAGTGGCCAGCCGTTCCTGGAGCCTCACCCAAGACTGCCTCCTGGGCCATCGAAAGGAAATCCTGAGGGTTCTGTGCTGGCGGAAGACACAGACCGAGAGCCAGTAGACGCTGATTGTGCAGGAGGACCCAAGCCCCCGTTGGTCCTTGCAGAACAGAAAGCCTAGTAGGGGTTTCCCTTTCATCCTGCCACATATACCCCTCTTCTGATCTCTCAGTCATTTTTCCAGAGTGCTCTACTTCATTTTCTCTAATTTTCTCAACTCCTGTTTCCTTTGTCACCCTTACTTATATTATCTCCTGTGACAGCCAGTCCTGCTTTACTGGAGTGGACTTACTTCCCGAGAAAATGACAAACAAACCAGCTATGTGCAGTACGCCAGAGGCCGGCCAGCGCCCTCCTGGAGGGGGCCCAAAGGCTGAGCACGTCGCAGTCTGTCCTGCCGCAGGCCTGTCGCAGCGCCCGAGGATGCCATGCAACCTTCCCACAGTAAGGACCAGACTTGGGAGAGGCACGTTGTCCAGGAAGGAGTCATTCTGGAAGCCAGGATACGCAGGATGAAACTCCAGGTCATGTGTGAAAAACGTCCTAGAATTTGGTGTTAGGAGCCCTAGGTTGGAGCCCTCACTTTGCTGTTTTGCCTTGGTGTGTGAATGTGTGCAAACATCCAACCTCTTTGAGTCTCAGTTTCACTCTTTGAGACATGTGGGATATTAATAATCTCTATATCTATGATATCTACATTTTAGAATTTGCACTGAAATAAATCTATATTTTAGGATTATTGTAAGAGTAAATGAAATAATGTATGTAAGGGCACATTGAAAGTGTGTATGTGGTACAGGATCTCAGGAAATATCCTGAGGGGATTTCGCTGACCTTATCAGACCCAAAAACTACAAACTCTTGTTACCTAGATCTTGCTTTATCTTGGTCTTAACCATCCAGCAGAAAAATATAAAAATGAAGTATAAGAAGTAAAGCCATGCTGTTATGTTGAGCTATAGGGGACTCAGGTCAACAATTTCTGACATTGCCAATAAAGCAGAAGCCCCAATACTATTATAGACTACTGAACTCTTTTAGAATATTTTGCTGAGTTAACACACCTATAATATTCAAATAACAGAACTAAATAAAAAAGGGGATACAGATGAATGTCCATTTTGTATTTGTGTATTTAAAATGGTTAGGATAGATATATAGTTACATTCTCTTAATGAATAGAGGGATTTGTTCTAATAGTGCTTGTAAATAGGATATCATGTCTGCATCTTGTACAGCAAATAACCACTAGGAAGAGAGTATGCAATGTGTTAATTATTGAAACTGTCCTACCAATTTGGCTTGAAATTGTCTCATTGCTATTTGTTTATCAATAAAATTATGGGAAAAAAAAGAAAGTGTATATGTAAGACAGTCACAGTGGTACACGTCTGGTTTTTCCAGCTACCTTTGAGGCTGATGCAGAAGGACCACAAGTTCAAGTGCAGCCTTGACAACTTAGCAAGACTCTGTCTCAAAATGTAAGGAAAAAATTTTGATGTTCTAGGATGTAGCTCAGTGGTAGAGTGCTCCTGAGTTTGATTGATTGAGTGTGTGTGTGTGTGTGTGTGTGTGTGTGTGTGTACCATGACAAGTTTGTATGGATTTGGAAGGGCCAGATCCAATAGTACTTCCATGGAGCACACCAATGAAAGTGAGGTTTAGGGGATTCTGGGGCAAGCACAGGTGGGGGGAGAGAGAGAGAGATAGACACCCGTTTTATAGTCAGCTTTGGTAAGCTTTGACCAGCATCAGCCAGGAAAATAGATTAACACCTCTGAAATCTATTTCTCTGTAAAATGTAACATGTGAAAATCCATGTCACTGGCTCCCCGGGAAAGGGAAGTAAGAGAATTTGAGTTGTGTCAGCAGCTGGGCCACCAAAGGTAAGGACAAAGTGGTGTGGGACAACCCACTATGGTCTGAATGAGTCTGAGGGCTTGGTTGTGGGGTGACAAGAAAAGAGGTGGAACTAGCCTCTGGGGACATTTGTTTGGCCAGACGGGCAGGCTGGTAGGTGAACTGGGTCACATGACAGTTCCCAACAGATCCTCAGAGAAGAGACTGAGAAAGGCAGGACAAAGGAAATGAGATGCGTGGCAGAAAATGCCTCCCTCCCAGCCAGGCATTTGGTTTCTTAGCTGCCCAGATAATAGTTCCTATTCCGGGTCTGCTTGCTTCTGTCTCCTAGAAATGGCTGGTCACTGAGATGCACACTGTATAAACCCTTCCCCAGGTGACAAGCCACTCTGCCTCTGTACTTCCTGCTTGCTTATCCCATATAAGCCCTAGATCACCACAGATCAGGGCCTGATATGCTGGGAAGATCAGGATCAGTGCCCGCTGATACAAGTAAATCTGCCTCCAAATCCTGGGTGTCATTTTGGGGTTTCCGCTTGCTGCTGCAGCAGATGGAGAGTGGGGCTGGATAGGTGAAAAGGGGGGGAGAAGAAGAAGAAGAAGAAGAAGAAGAAGAAGAAGAAGAAGAAGAAGAAGAAGAAGAAGAAGAAGAAGAAGAAGAAGAAGGATGATTCTGAAGGAATAGTACTTTTCTTTTCTTTTGGGTGCTGGAGTTTGAGCCCAGGGCCTCACAGTGCTACATAAGCGCTTTGCCCCTGGCTACACTCCCAGCCCCTGGTCATACTACTCTTATAATAAATAAAGACTGGGGGAGGTCGAGGGAAAGTATGAGAATCCTACTGTCCTACCCACTTCACGAGAGAGAGAGAGAGACCTGAGCGACTAGCATTAGGCCTATCAAGTAGCACCAGTTCTTTCTCCCCCATCTTATTCCTCTGACCAGACTGATGGAAGAGAAAACATCATTGCTCAGATGTGCATCCAGCTACTTGGATCAGCCAGAAACGAACCCCTTCGGCTCTCGGCGCTGTGCATTCTACCAGTTCAGAGATCTAAATTAGCCCAGAGGCCCCAAAGGCCAGCCATACATAAACTGTCCATGACAAGGCTCAAAATGCATGCAGCCAAGATGCGCCTCTACACGACACAAATCCGCCACATCCCACGCACTGAGAAGCCAGGACGAGTCCGTGAGCTGCCTCCTCCGGGTCTCAGCCTGAACCTTTGTTTCCTCGCATCTCCAAAGGGTCGATGCTATAGGAACTCAAAGAAGGCCTGCTCCGAGGGCTCGGTGTGTCCTGACTGTTTTTGGATCTTGGAAGAGACAACAAAACTAGATTTTGGTTACCTAAAAGCCAGTTGTTTTAAAAATCACTTAAAACTCAAGCTGCTTGGGAGGCTTAGGCAAGAGGATCATTTGAGCCTGGGAGTTCAAGGCCAGCTTGGGCAATATAGTGAGATTTCACCATAAATGTTATAAAGAAATAACACAAGCCAGGTGCAGTGGCACATGTCTGTAATTCCAGCTACTTGGGAGGCTAGTGCAGGAGGACAGCAAGTTCAAGCCAGCCCTGGGCAATTCAGGAAGAACTGGCTTAATGGTAGCTAGCATACCTGCGCCCCTGAGTGCAGCCCCTAGTACTGCAAGCAAATAAACTTTAAATCCCTTTGAACAGAGCTGCGCAGTCCTTCCCTCAGCTTCCTGGTCAGATCTGCAGGTCTCCTAAGCATAAGACAAATGAGAGCCAGGCGTGGAAGCCCAGGCCTGCAATTCCCAGCACTCTGGAGGCTGAGGCAGGAGAATTCTCTCAAGCTGCAGGTCAATCTCAGCTACATAATGAGTTAAAGGGCAGCTTGAACTATAGCAAGACCCTGTTTTACCCCTCCCACAAAAGAGAAAAGGTAAATGAATAAGAGTAAAGCAAGAAATAATAGTCTTTTAAAACCCACCGCGGAACTCCCGTGCTCCTCACCCCGCAGCCTCTGCACTTGCCCCGCGCCGCCAAGATCCCAAGAGGAAGGTCAGCTCGGCCGAAGGGGCAGCGAAGGAGGAGCCCAAGAGGAGGTCGGCGAGGTTGTAGGCTAAACCTGTTCCAGCTGAAGTGGAAACGAAGCCAAAAAAAGGCAGCGGGAAAGGATAAGTCTTCGGACAGAAAACTGCAAGCAAAAGGAAAAAGGAGCCAAGGGAAAACAGGCTGAAGGGGCTAGTCAAGAAACCAAGAAAGCTTTCCCTGCGGAAGGTGGACAAACTAAAAATGAGGAAAGTGCAGCTTCCAATGAAGCAGAAGAGATAGAAGTCGAGTCTGATTAATCCCACACCGTGTCTTACCAGTGCGCCCTGTCTCACTTCTTGTACAATCCAGAGGAATATTTTTATCAACTATTTTGTAAATGCAAGTTTTTTTTAGTAGCTCTAAAAATATTTTTTAAAAGGAGGGAATCCCACCTCATCGCATTTTTTAAGTGTAAATGATTTTTTTTAAGGGTGAAATCATTCTCTAGTTGTTTATTTTTTGGTACAACCAGAAATAGTGGGATATTGAATTATGGCAGGCTTTAACTGTCTTGGGTGTCAGCTTAACATTCCGGAAGTGGGGGTTAGTTTTCTATCCTGCAATACAAAGCACACTAAATGGCAATTTGGAATTACAGTCCTGTGCTTAATATGTCTTGGATACTTTAAATGACTTCTGTTCTCATGATTTTTGGTAGAATTGTTTCCTAAAGAAAACTACATCCTAGTCGTTGCCCTGTCAGAATCGTGTGCACTCTGTAACGTCTTTGGTAGTGGTAGTCTGGTTTGCCTCATTTTGTGAATGTGCTGTGAAAGATCAAAAATTTGAACATGTAGTGTATGTGATACAGAATTGTGAATTGGTGCGACTTAAGTAACACTTTGTCAGCGCTTGAAGATACTGCTACTTAATCCTCTTACAGAAAATTTGCCTCTAAATTTGAAGCTGGAAGGTCACTGGAACAACTGAAAAACAATATATGGCTTTCTTTTGGTGTGTGTGTGTTAAGAATTGTGTACAAAGTGAATCATGTGTACTGATCCTCAACACAACCAGTAAAATCTCAAATATTGGAGATTAAAAAAAAAAAAAAAACCAGGGGCCGGGGAGATAGCTCAGTGGAATAAGCACTTGCCTGGCAAGCTCAAGGACCTGAGTTCAATCCCCGGTTCCGCAAAAAAAAAAAACAAAACAAACAAAACAAAACAAAAAAAAAACACCACATATCCATGGATTTTATTCAACTCCACAGCTCAGCTACATATCCATAGAAACTTTCAAATTGTCATCAATTTCCTTTTCTGTGGCACAGATAAAGTAATACAAACTGTTCTGACTCGGGATGAATCACTTGGAGAGTTTATTGTTGAGCTAGTTGATGTCATATGGTTCCTCCAGGTAATCTAAACTCAGGCATAAACATCTATCCTGGAACTAAAATTTCTGGAAAGTACGAGCGAGCAGAGGAGGCCAGAGAAATTATTTTTGCCTTTAGTCACTGACTAATAACAACAGTGATCACATCTTTTTAAAAGAAAGCCCCCCTCAGCTTTGAATCATCGTTGCCTGTACTTTAGCTACTGTTTTTCAAGGAGAGTCTTCCTGCAGGCTCACCTCCAACTCCCCTCCTGCTTCACTCGTCTTCACTACAAATATGCAATCTTAGGAGTGTAAAGTTCCTTTGAAGTAGGAAATCTTGAAAATGTGATTTTAAAAATTCCAATTTTCTCCTCTAATTTCCTCGAAAACGAGAAAATGTATATAAATTAGATTAGTGTAAGATTTTTTTTTCTTTGACTGGAATGACTATTATTGTACTATTTTTCTCCCAACTACGCATGAGGAAATGCACTGCTGCGTGACTTTACACATCACAATACTTAACTATAATGTTGTCTTAGGGGTCAGGGAGATGGCTCAGTAGAATAAGTGCTTGCCTTGCAAGCACAAGGGCCTGAGTGCAATCCCCAGTTCCACCAAAAATAAAAATAAAAATAAATAAATACTTTTTTAAAAATGTTGTCTTTTCGGCTTGATCCATATCTTTGTCTAATCAGTTATTACCTCCCTAGCACCTGTTACAAAGGTTAGCACTCTCTGTGAACCCTTGAAAGATGTCAGTTTTTTTCATTTTTTCCTGTTACAGCCTTTATATTTCAAAGTAGCCCATGAATTAACAATAGCAATTAAAATCAAATATCAGGACAGGAAAGTAGCACGTCAGAACATTTTACCTGTTTTGGCTGAAACAACCTGAAAGGAAAGTTGAAAAAATTAGAACCATAGGGAAAGTATATCAGACCAGTAATAAATTTATCACAATATTTCCATACAAAATGTGACCGATCTTTGAATCCACATAAGTATTTTCTGCACAACCCATTTCCTAGTACTCAAGCCTGCCACCAAGCAATCCCAAGCAGAATTTAGAGGCTAGGGACAGGTCACATTACTTTTGCATTTTTTCCTTTGAATCTGCCTACTGCACTAGGTCAGATGCCAGTGACAGATTTTTCAGAAGTCTTTGTTCTTAAAATATAATGATAATATTGTTCTAGTATATCATGTTAAATTTCAAACACACAAACATACATGATCTTGGTATGATCCAAAAGTATTTTGCTTTCTATCTCCCTTACCTCCCACAAAAAGCAAGAGACACCGAATGTGTCTCCTTTCTTCCCTAAAGAGCTGCAGGTTGTTGGAAAGCTGAACTCACCATTTTAACACAGACGAGAATGAGTCCAATCAAAGACAAACCTTTCTCTGGTTCTCTGGCCATTCTGCTGGGTAGAGTGCTCATATGGCACAAAACCAGACGCTCAAGGGTCCACCGTGAGCCCCGGAGGGCAGCACTGGAGCTGCTGGGAAGCTGGGAAGGACCCTGCGGAGTCGCTCTGTCCCTTTGGCATGGAGCATATCTGTAACTAGGGGCATTGAAAGACAGGCAGGGACAGACGCTATGAAGGCTGAATAAAACAGCTGAAGAAAGTCATGCCAAGAGGATTGATTTTCAGCAAGCATGGAAAGGTAATCAACAGACAGAGGATAGATTTAGTCAACAAATGATGCCGGAACACTTGGGCAGCCATACTGGAGGCTCCGGGCTCAACCATCAGCACCAATAAAACAAAACAAAAGCCAAATAAAAAATGTAAATTTTAATCCATATTTTACATCACATTCAAAAATTAACTCAAGGTCTGGGGAGATAGTTTGAGGTCTAAGCGTCCGCGTGACAAGCTCAAGAACCCAGGACAGTCCCTGATACTGCACACCATGCCAGCCCCTGAAACCAGGCGTGATGGCACATGCCTGTAATCCCAGTGCTAGAGAGGCTGAGACAGGAGGATCACTACAAGTCTGAGCAGTGTAGCAAGACTCTACCAAATAATAAATAAAAAAGACTTTAAAAAAATCAACTCAAGCTAGCCATCCTGGCACACACTTGTTATCCTACATAGCAAGGCAGGAAAGCCACCTGGGTCCACAACAGCCTGGTCCACATATGTAGACCCTGAATCAAAAACATTTAATCAAAGCTGGCATGGTGGCACATTCCTAGGATCTCAGCACTCAAGAGGCTGAGGCAGGGGGATCCCTGTGAGTTCAAGACCAGCCTGGGCTACAAAGTAAGCTCAAGGCTAGCCTGAACTGCATAGCAAGACAAAGTAATAACACAACATAACAAAATAATAATAATTAAAGTGGATCAGAAGGCAGGCGTGGTGGCATACACTTGTAATCCCAGCACTTAAGAAGGCTGAGGCAGGAGGATCATGATGAGTTTGAGGCAAGCCTGGACTACACAATAAGTTCAATGTCACCCTGAATTATATTGAGTCCAAATCTCTTAAGAAAGAAAAGTATAACGTGGACTGGAAAACAAGTCTCCTAACTATTAATACAATGCGAAAAAATAAGGCTTTTATAAATACATAATAACAACTGTGCTTGAAAATCAAGTAGCCAAAAATAAAATATCAGACCTGCAGGCTGCAAAAGGATTTATATTCTCTGAAAACAAAAGCCTGCTATTAAATTCCTAATGATGATCTCAGCAGGTTCTGCCTACCTCTGGCCCAGGCTGTTTACCTAACAGGTAAGAATCTTTAGAAAGGCAAATCCTGGGGCAGGAAGCAAAGCAAAAATCATGAGTCAGGGGGGCCTGCCCCTTAGCTCGGTTCTTTAAGTGGCTGCTTCAACAAAGCAGTCAGGCTAAGCTTGCTGTGGTTCGATCCCCACAACTCAAGCCAGCCAAACCTGCCCTGAAGGCATGAGGAGAAAAAAGAAAATCATGAGTCAGCTGAACAAAAACAGACTGAACTGTACATAGGAAAAACCACTATGGCTTAGGATATAATGTTCAAAATTGTATGAGCGTAGAACATATGAAAGTTGAAACCTGCTGCAACAACACACACACACACGCACACACACACACGTGCACACATGAGAACCACACACATAGAAAGGCAAAGTCAATAAAATTATGGAAAAAAAAAAAGAAAAGGCAAGGGCTGGGGACATAGCTCAGTGCAATATAACTTACTAATGAATTTGATAAACCACAAAATATTCTTAATAGTAAAATCATTGGAAAGAGATACCTACCTTCTTGGGTTCATGTCGACCCACTAAATCTCTCACACAAATGAAAAAAGGAAAGAAAGAAAAGATAAGAAATTTCCATACAAAAACATACATAAATATTCAGTTATTTTTATTCCCAAACTGTAAGCAAATCAAATGTTCATTGACAAAAATGGATCATAAGCTGGGGAGATAGCTCAGTAGAATAAGCGCATGCCTGGCAAACACAAAGCCCTGAGTCCAATCCCCAGTTCTGCCAAAAAATAAATAAATAAAATTTTTTAAAAAACAAAAATGGATGATAAACATGAAATATTTCTCAGCAAAAAATGGGAATGAACTATTATATATACAACAATAACACAGATGAGTCTCAAAATAATAGAGCTGGGTCAGGAGATAGCTCAATAGGATAAGCGCTTGCCTGGTAAGCGCAAAAGCCTGAGTTCAATCCCTGGTTCCACAGCAAGAAAGGAAGGAAGGAAGAAAAGAAAGAAAAATAGAAAGAGAGTGGGCCAAATAGCTGAGTGGATTAAAGCGCCTGTAAGCAGGTGCAGGGGCTGGGGGTTCAATCCCCAGGCCTGCTGTGCTGGCCCTGAAAGATGGCATTTGAGACTGGGTGTGGGCCTGTAATCCCCGCTCTTGGGAGGATGTAAACAAGTGGATCACTATGAGTCCGATCTAGTAGTGAGACCCCAAACACCCTGTAAACCCTGCCCTAAAATGCAAAAGAAGAAAGAAAGAAAGATTCAAAAAAAAAAGTAAGAAAAGAATGCAGATAGTTTTCTTCTAGAAAATGGAAACTACTCTAAAAACAGCAAATCAGGGGTTGCCTGGACGTGGGGAAGGGTGGGAAGAAGGACTTACAAAGTGTGAGAGGAAGTGCTTAGGCAGAGAGGGTATCTCCGTTATCGGCAACGTGGCGCCGTTTCTTGAATACATGCGTATGTTGAAACACATTGTTTGTCTTAAATATCTGTGATTTATTTCACATCAGTTACACCTAAAACTGCTTTGAATAATCAATAATCTAACCCCAAACTCAAACTCCTTCCCCTAAGCCACCTGCCTTCTTCGAGTTGAATATAAGATCGGGGCACTTTAGCCGGTTGAACAAATGCGAGCTGGGTATTGCTGTATACCACGCGTGTTCCTGTCACTGGGTCCAAACACAAGGAAGTCGGCCCCCACCCCGGGAGCACACTCTAGCAGAGTAAGGCCAGGACAAGCAGGACAGTAATGAAATAGATCGAGAGTCGCAAGACATTATGGGCCACTAAATAAATGAATAAATATAAAACAGCAACGGAAGAGAATACTGAGGGACGGACTGGTGCCAGTTCACATACAGCAGTCCGGGAGACCTGTGTGGCAGCAGGCCTGAGGGAGGGAGGAGGTGAGGCCTTGGGAAATCTGGAAAAGAAAGAAGGCAGGCAGAGGGCAGAGGAAGGAGAAACCCTCACCCCGGCTGCAGGAGGAGGTGCTGGCCACTTCTAGCCAAGCCTTGGACTTGCCTGTGGCCGTGTGGGCCTCCGTGCCCAGTCACACCCTCCGGTGGCCTTCCCACACCCAGTGACCGGGGATGAAGGATGCTGGTGCTCCTTGTCTGGCCTCTGACAGCTCTGGCAGCCAGAGCTGGCTGGTCCACTGCGGGGGGCCCAGACTGTGTGACAGATGGTGGGGACCCCACCAGGTGACATCAACCAACACCATCCCATCCCCCACCGCGTCCCGAGGTCGTGAGACCTTGCTTCAGGAACAGGGGGCCATCAAAGAAAGAAGGCCTTGTGCCCCTGGATAGCAGGCTAAGGACCTGGTCCTCCTGAGGCAGAGAACGCCTGCTGAGGGCAATCCTCAAAATACAGGTGTTTGGGCTTAGAGAAAATCTAGTTCCTTATTAATTTAACCCTTACACACCCATTTTCTTTTTCTTAAAATTAATTACATTTGTTGGTACATTTTAGGTCTTCACAATGATCACATTCATCCTCGGGAATCTCTACCCGTCTGTGCCACAACTTGATCTGTTTTTCCCCATTCCCCTGCCTCCTCCGACCCCTCCTCTCCTCCCCACACCACAGCTTTGTTTCCAAAGCTTTCCTTCTTTCTCATCATTTTTTTCTTTTCCCTCCCTTCCTTTCCCCCTTCCTCATCCTTAGTTCCCCTTCCATTTGAACATTTTCTTCCTCTTTCACAATATTTATGGTACATTTTGGTCTTTATTTACACTTTCAGTTTCTCACACCAGAGAAACTGGTACTTGTGCGTGGGTGTCTGGTTTATTTCCCGTGAGAGTATGTGCTCAAGGTGCATCCAATTAGCTAGAACTGTCTCGAGCTTATCCTTTTTTATGGTAAAATAGTACTCCACTGCATAAAAAGAAACCTTATCTTTTTTATCTGTTCACCAGCTGGAGTGTTTCCAGGATTTAGCTATCACAAACTGCGTCACTATAAACATGGGTGTGCCTACATCGCTGTGGTATGATGCTTTTAATTCTTCCCAGAAGATACCAAGAGGGCGAATAGTTGGGTCAAGCAGAACCTCTAGTTTTAGTGCTTTGAGGCATCTCTACACTGATGTCCACCAACACTGGGGAAGGGCTCCTACTTCCCCACAGTCGCTCCAGCATCTGTTAATGGTTGATTTCTTGATGACAGCGACTCTTTCTGGGAAAGACAGAATCTCAGCACTGTTTTAATTGGCATCTCTCAGATGATCAGGATGTTGAACATTTTTTCACAGATTTATTTCATGTTTGTACCTCTTCATCTGAGCAGTGTGTATTCATTTCAGATGCCCATATTTGGATTTGGTCTTTAAATCTGAAAGTCCGATTTTTTTCAATTTTTAAATATATTCTGGACAATAGTCCTTTGTCTGAGGAAGAGATGACAAAATTTTCCCCACACTGAAGGTTGTCTCTTCACTGCTGCTGGTTTCTCTTGTGGTACAAAAGTTTTTAACGAGGGGGCCAGGGAGATGGCTCAGTAGGATAAGCGCTTGACTGGCAAACGCAAAGATCTGAGTTCAATCCCCGGTTCCACAAAAAAAAAAAAAAAAAAAAAAGCTTTTTAACGAGATCCCAGTTGGTGATTCTTCGTGATACTTCTGGTGCAATCAGGGTTTTGTCCATAAAGACTTTGCCTACGCTAACGTCTTTTAAAAGTTCTACCTATTTTATCCAAT